GTGTCTTTTACCCAAGAAAAGAGTTAAAAATACACTCTGACAAAAAGCACTTCGCTACTTTGATACTGCATTGCTATCTATACATTATACCTAACATAAAGAAAAGCAAGGAATTAGTTCCACACCTCCTAGCAAAGGTATTTTTTCTCTTTCAAGCATTCCCATCACCTGACAGATAACACCAGGATTCAGATTCAGTGGTCTGGAAGCTAAGCAGGCAAAGAAACTTAAGATTCATTTCCCTTCATCATATCCTTCTAGAATATGAAGTGGTATAGGTTATCGTATATGCAAGGTACATTGCTATCTGCATTAGGCTGCGGATTTTTCACCTTTGTGGCAGATGCATTGGCTTTTGAAAAAGAGAGTAAAGACAGTGTCAGCTTTGCTGTGGCAGACTTCAAGCCACGGAGTTGCCCATGTCCTTAACAGCTGGGCTGTAGTGCCTGAAGGCAATGTTCAGACATGGTACCTTTGGCTCTCTGCCTCATTGTAAGAAAACATAAAAGAGGAGATAATCTTTTGACTGCTGTGCTGGGCCATGGCTGCCTCATTTTTTTTTTTTTTTTTTTTTTTGGTGCAATGAAATGTGGCAATGCATCTCTAACGTGAACTCAGCTAACTTGGTTCCATTGAGGCTCAAGCTGCAAAGACTCCAGTGGCAAATTCAACATGCTATCATGTTGACAGTATATAGAACTACTGGAAAACTAGATTAGAATTTTCTGAAGTAATTTCTCTCTATATATCTTTTTTGGTTTTGGTATGTTTTGAGCCTTATCCCTTGCTTTGTTAGAAGAAAGCATATGTATTTGCTGTTAAAATACGTAAATAATACATTGTTTATGTTTCTCAGAATGATATTTTAGTACCTCTGACCAACAGCTACAACAAGTGAAACTACAGATGTGGAACACTTTGGCCCAACCAGAGATGCTTTGATGCATCTCTGATATTTTCATATGATGGATGCTCAGTGTATGGTTAATGCCATCTATTATTATACTGCTATTACATCAGATGAAAGGTTCACATTATGGGCTAAGAAAAGAATGCTAATAGTGAAAATCTTTTCCCTAAAATTCATTTAATCTAAACAGAAGGTTTAAGCAGATGCAGTAATGAAAGAGAGAGAACAGAGTGAGAATATCACTGAAGGTCGCTGTGTGTCAGTAGTACAGAAGTTTTGCATCTTGAATCCCACTGAAATATTCTGTACAGGCTTTGAAGAGTCAATCATTCAGAGATCAGTAGCACTTTAAAAATATATGTACATGTTAAATTTGCAATTTAAGTGGAGAAACATATTGCCGTGGTTTTTGTTCACTGTATGGTAAACCTTTTTCTGGACAGCACTTTGCTGTTCTGCTTTGTTCTGATCACTGTTATTTTACTGTGTCAGGTAGCAGGGATTTTTAGTAACTCCAGGCAGTACCTTGATCAAAGTAACTAACTAGCTGTGAGGAAGTCTCAGTACTGAGTCATTGTGCATGAACACTTCTTCTTTCTTCACATGATGACATTGAGGACAGTTATATTTCTTTCCCCAAAAAGGGAAGAAATAGAAAAGTTCTGGAGCTTGAGTCTGATTTGGGGGGTTTTATTTATAATTATTCAGTAAATTATTTTGCAGCATCAAATAAAACATCTTCAAAGCAGATTTGATGCCCTGGTCAAATGTTACCAAATCCTACCTGTAACCAAAAGTACAGAACAAAAGAATAGATATAAAGACCTGGGACTGGTGATTTGTTTTTCTTTGAGATTTGGGAATGGGGTCGCATTTGTCATCCAGTTCCAGGCCAATCTTTGCAATGCTTTCTGACTTGATTATTTTTTAGAGGAAAATTGATGATGCCATTAGCTAAGAGGTGTTTTTAATGTGCATCTCAGACATATAATGGGATAAAGCCTAACATATCTACCTAACCAATTGATAGTGGTGTTATATTTGTACTGTGTCAGCAGTATTTTCTAATCCACCCATATAATAGCAAACCCAGCAGGGCAGAAAACAAATTGAAAGCGATCAGATCTGTACTTCCTATTTACGTATAATTAAAAACCAAATTCTCAGTTTTTCTTCCCCCACCTTTCTGCGTTTTCTCCTCTTTCTCTCTCTTTTTTTCATTTTATCTTTTCTTAAAAATGACTTCTCCATTGCAAGCAGTATGCTCTGAGAACAGTCACATGTCACTGAATGCAGGTAAATGTGCCTTGTGATGGCTTAAGTCCCTTTCCTACTAATGCTGATAGATGAGTGGCTAAGGATGAGAAAAATTATATATTTACACTGCAATGATAGGAATTATATGATTTACTGTCTAAGTACCATTCTGCACCATGGTGATTATCATGATATTAAATAATTGAGTGTCATCATAGTTGGAACACGAGTCATTACCACAGTCTACGTATGATAACTCTTAAACATAATTGCTATGTAATCTTTAGGTGATTGAATTAGCATGCAGACCAGTTTCTTTCTTTAATTGAATGCTTTTCAAAACATGGCGATTCAGGGACAAGTTCTGGAAAAATGTGCCGTTTGTACTCAGCCTTGTTAAAGTGTGTAATTTCCTTCGATGAATGATGGGCAGAACACATATGCATAACTGCAACTGTGACGTAGGTACAGAAGTGGTACTTGCCTTTCCACGGGCGTGGAATCCATAAACCCACAGAAGTCAAGTTAATGTCCTGATCAGCTCTCGATCAGGTGCCTGACTGTTACAGTAACTTTTGCAGATGTTACATCGTAGTACCAGCTGGCCCTAGGGGAAAGACGATATACCCCCCCTATAACCATCAGAAAGTAAATTTAACACATTTCAATGGAAGACAATCTCTGACAATGTAAGAGGAATCACCTTTTTATGATGTATATTTGGTATGAAGGTTGCTTGAGCTGTAACGTCCATCAATTTTCTTTCACTTGTAGCATTTTTGCAAGGCAGTTTTATGTAGATTCAAAAGAGTACGATCTCTATAGCAAATTTGCTTTACATAAAAGTATGATTTTTGTGATAAAATAGTGATTTTAATGTAGCTAATTTTTTTATAAAGACTTCATTTTTTTCTAAAAGTTCTTTTCCAAAAACTACATACGAAAATCTCATTAACTAATTTCTTGCATCTCTTGACAGCAAAACCAACAGGTTGGTGTAATCTTTGTTACAGTATTTTTCTAACAAATTTTTTTTTCTTAAAAAAAATGGACTAATTCCAGAAGTAGTGGATTTACCTGAGTTACAAGCAAATACAAGATAACCACCCCTCTGAAATCCTGTAATGTTGCTTCTGAAAGCATCTGCATCTATACCTGAAAAGATGTCCTGATAACTTTTAAATGGATTTGTTGCACCACAAATACAACATACCAGTTTGATATTTAATTTTGAGCTGACTCAGACTCCTGGAATCTGTCATTCAGAATAACAAGATCAGGCTGAGACTTTTAGTTGCGCTCAGAGCTTAATACATATTTATTATGGAAATGTGTATTGTAAGATATATTTTATAAAAAAGAGTGATATTTCTAATATATATATGGCTGCATTCTGACAATATGCACATATATTTAATATTAATAATAATGGGGTATTGCACTCAGTTTGTAATGCTTATGTTTTATGATCTGAGTAGAATTTCACCATTTAGTTGGAACAAACAGTAAGGGGATCAAAGTTTATTATTTCATCATGAGTCTTTGCAGATTTAGGAACATTTAGCCATATAAGTTCAAATTTTGAAATACATGCAGTCATATAGTGTTTAAATTGAGTTTTAAAAGATTCTTCTGTGGTAATTAAACAACAGAAATGTGTTTGTATCTTTGTTTTTGAAAGGAGCTGAAAGATTTAAAATAATTGTCACCATAATAGCAAAAGCAAGTTAGGAATTTTAACAACTTGCAAGCAGTCACTGAAGAGTAGCCCACAGAAGCAGGCAAAAATCAGATTTAGTTGAATTTTTTATTAATTCCTTTTTAAGAATTTTACTTAATAACTGTTGTTGTTAGTTACTAACAATAAAGATTGATACTTGTGAACAGTGAGGATAAAATGCTCGTACAAATAGTAGCTAAGACGCTGGTGATTGATCATTAGTTAGCAGTTTACAAAGGGGATTTCTTAAACAAATCTGTATAAATTTTTAGAGATATGTATCTCTGAAAATTTTTACCAAGCTTGGCTTAAATTACAAGATTTAATACTCAGCAGAGTATTAAGTACATCTCTTGAATTGAGACAAGTTCTGCAGGTATTTTTACTGTGGATTCAACATCCAGAGAAATCTGGAAAATAGGTGTTCATTCTTTAGAGTAGAGATTAAGTCATGAAAATAAGACAAGAAGAAATTTTGTAGTGTCGTTATGTAATATTAATATCAGTATTGGATTGATCTTAAATGATTGCATCCCTCAGTTTTCTTCACATATTTTGAATAAAACCAAACCTAGCACAAAAGTTAGCTCAGAGGTCAGTTTGGTGTTTTTTATTTCTCAAAACTAACTTATCCACAACTTCCTGAATTAGCCAAGACTTAGGTCCATGTTTTTACATACAGTCTAAAATTGCCAGGCATTTTCTTTGGGTTCATGTTTTACTCTTCATAGTCCTTACAGATACCCGTACTGAATTATAAAGAGGTATAAAATGAATTATTATTGACCATTCAGAAATTTGTCTTTCATTTTCAATTATAATTAGGAAAACGTGCATGGCAGAAACAATATTTGAGAGAAAGCAAAAGTATGTGAGTACAGTTGTAGTATTTGTCCTCCCAAATCTGCTTTTTTTTACATTCTGTGGATTCAATTTATGTTCTGCCTAGTTCCTACTTCTTATAGTATTATGGTGGAGAAAATGTATTTACAATGCATATCACACTTGCACACTTTTTATTCTCTTCAGGTACAATCTGCATATGGCATGTCTATTTTTTCCACAAGAATATATAATCATTCATCAGCAATGTTATTTGCTTTTTTTCTTTAGGGGCTGATGTTATCAATTTTGATGGCCACGTAGTGCTACCATACAGATTCAGGAACAAGAAAATGAAAACACTGAAAGATGTCATCTCTCTGAAATTTAAGACCTCTGAAAGCGAAGGTGTAATCTTCCACGGAGAAGGACAGCAAGGGGACTACATCACCTTGGAACTGAAGAAAGCCAAACTTGTTCTAAATTTAAATTTAGGTATGCTTTGATCGTTTAGTTTTGTGGTAGTTTTTAACAGTCCCACAAAAATTTAAGGTCAAAATATTTCATCCTCTTTCCCGCAGGAATAGGGTAAGACATCATTTAATAAGATAATTTGGTGAAAATATTGTTAATTTCTTTTCTATATGTTGAGAGTTTTCTTCTCTCCTTTTTTACTCCATGTGAGATACTATGAAAACAAAATCACACAGAAAAGCAGAGTCAGCAATATATTGCCTTTACACAAACAAACAAAAAGCTTGCTAGAATTATATTTGGCCTCAGCTGTGGCTTTGTGTGAGAGGACACTGTCATCACTTCTAGAAGAACAAAGGTCACCTTTAAAAACCTCACAGTAAAAAAATAGTATCAGTCTAGGAAACTACAGGCCACATGACTTTCAGCAGCCTTCCTAGAGTCTGTGAAGTAGGACTAAGAAAGGAAAAGAGAAAGACTGCTTTGTCAGGCAATCTTATGATGAAATCTTGTATATGTTACTCTAGCTCCAGCATCTTTTTTCCCTCCCAGTTAAAGACTACAGGCTCATGAGTCACTGGATTTATAAAGTACACTTATTATGAAAAAAAAAAAACAAACCAACATTTATCTGGTTCCAGGTATTTTTTTCCTTAAAACAAAAGAATCCTAGAAAAAGATTTCATGCAACCTTCCTTAGTTCTGTTACAGACATGTGAAGAGAATATTGTTCCATTCATTATTTACATTGAATATTACTTATTTCCAATAACATTCTGTCCTGCTTTCTTTATAACAATCAACATGAACAGATGATGAGGAAGAAAGTACATATTCCTATAGTAGTTATGTATTCTTAACAATTTTAGTTGCAGCAGTAACCCATTCATTTCAAGTTCCTCTGTATTTAGTTCAGTCTGTATTCAGTTCAGCTTTATAAGCTGTGATAACTTCCATATATGTGCTTGGTGAGGATGTTCCTAAATCACCAGGTTGGTAAATGGGACTAGGCCCTGTGACACACACTCACTCAATAAACAGAAGAAATACTTTATAGTATTGTTCTTTCCCGTCTGAGAGTATTGTCTTTGCACTAGAGTCAGTAGAAAAGGATATTCATCGTGCCTGGTGAGATTCAGTGATTTAGTTTCAAAAATCAGGGGAGTCAGAGGTGGATTTCGATTTCGCTTTGCACTGGATTTGACTTTGCATTGAAGAAACTGAGGCTCAACAACAAGCATGCAACTTTATTTTACCTTTTAACCAACAGGATCAGTGACCTTCAGCATAAAGGCAGTATGGTCATTTGTAGGCAAGTAATGTCTTAAGCCACAGAAGTGTGATTTGCCAGAAGGTATTATCAACGTGCACAAACCTTAATGTCTGAGTTGCAGGTGTACTTGATGGTAAGAAATTCTCAGCCTCAGAAATGCTTTAGGTCCTCATGCATTCACAACATGGAAGATTGCACTGAGTTATTGGGCAGTGCAGCAATTTTTTACACTTACTGCTGAATTAGTCATTTGCTGCTTCAGTTCAGATCCATGCTATCAACCTTTGCTGGCTTAGCTATGTCAGTCAGATGGCAACGAGATGTGATCTCTGACTAGCACAGCTGCACTGGCAGCCCCCATCCTGGATAACAGGGCAGAGAATTGCAAAACTGTACTCTTGCTGGTAGTTTGACTTCCAGAATAGGGAGATTGCGGCAGGAGGAGAGACTGAAATCAGCTGTATTAGCACAAGATTTTTTTTTTGCTGCTGTTGGCTCAGTCTGCATTGAGCCTTTTCCTATCTGCTCGCTGGTATACTGTACTGGCAGAGGCCACAAACACAGAACTCAGGCTAAAAGGCTCATTGTTGCCAAAGATTCTTATCAGACTCCATGTCCTCCTCAGTAGTCATAAATCAGTACAGTTCCAATGCAGCTCAGGACACGGCCCAGGTTTTTATTTCCGTAGTGCAGGATCGAAAACGCAGAAAACACATAGTTGAAAACAATTTTACAATTAAAAGTTGATATTGCTTCCCTGATTTGCCTCCAAACAACTGCTATCATGAATTCATACATATATTTATTAATAGATATATAATTCAGTGATCAGATACTTACTTTATTTGGTCCAGCTATTTGTATTTAAGGCAGCATCTCTCCACTGGGCAGAACTCAACTTCATAGCAGACTGACTTCCTCCAGTTTATTGTGTGTCTGGTATGATTCAGGTGAAATATTGACAGAGCAAGGCGAAAATGTTTGTCTGACTGGGATGAGGTGAGAATTGCTATTGTTTCTGTTCTCAGGCAGCAACCAGCTTGGCTCCATTTATGGTCACACATCTGTGATGACAGGCAGCCTCTTGGACGATCACCACTGGCACTCCATCATCATAGAGCGCCACGGGAGAAACATCAATCTCACCCTGGACAGACACATGCAGCACTTCAGAACCAATGGGGAATTTGATTACCTGGACCTGGATTATGAGGTAGACAGTGAAAGTTCTTTATTTTCATTCAAATTGGCTTTATAGACATAAGTCCAATAAGAAAAAAAAACTAACATACTTTAAGATGTTTTGGTACTTTTTTCGTTCCTCTGTTTTAAGTATTTCTTCTCTTACTTTTCCTGAAATTTTCTTTCCAATGGTGTTCTCTTCTAAGTGTAAATTATGTTTCTCTTCATTAGCCTACCAAATCCCATCTGGAGTAACATTCATCCTAGCCTTTTTTTTTTTTTTAAGTGTGAGATCTGTGCTATTCAGCAAGCTCGGCATATATGACTTTTAAAATCTCTAAAAGCAGCTGCTCTAACAAGGAAGTGGATTTTTTAAAAGTATTGTATGATCTGTTATTGCACTCAGGTGATAATTTTGCACTTGAATCAGAAAGCTTTATTCTGTGATGACAATATTTATTTTTAGCAAATGAAGCAGATTAGAAATTTTTACTAATATGGGTCTTGATCTGTCTTGTCTTAGGTAGATACTTCCTTGTATTTTTACAAATATGGCATCAGTAGCTTCTTTTTATAAAGAAGCAATAGAGAGTTAGGGAAGTTGTAAGAAAACTTATTTAATCATCCAGGTTAATTCACAAAACTGTGGGTAATAATTAAATGTGGATTTGTTGTTGGATTACACTCCAACTTCTAGAATTATGAACTTGTTCAGTGCCTCAGAATTGTTAAATGAAGTTCAGCATATTGATTATTGCAAAGTTTATATAATATTTACTTGCAGTCTTTGCTGTTTCTAATGAGAATTAATGTGGTTGGCCAAATATGCAATTTCTACCCTTACAACTTTTTAAGCAGTGAGAAGGAATCAAAATGATGTAACGGGAAAAAGTTTGAATTAACTTCTGTATTTAAATTTTTACAAACAATCTTTTGATCGAGAACATATGAATGTTTGAGAAAGTTACTTATGATTGTAAATGCTGCAGATTCAAATATTTACTTATATTCCAACAAGTCTTTATGAATAAATTCTTTTCTAGAAGGTATAATGAGAAAATAACGAGCAAATGTGCCCGTACCTCTATTACTTATTGAGAACTGGAAATCTGAATTGAGCTGCTGAAAACTCACATAAATAGATTTTATGAAAGTGAATGAGCTACAGAAAAAGTTAGGCTGAATGCCATACTCCAGAGCTGAGAAATTTTTGCGTGTATATGTGTTTGTATACACACATATATATGCACACATATATACATATATAAATGGAACATATTTACATAACAAATATATTCCATAGAATAACTTTATCCGTAGTAGCAGTAGAATTCAGTTGTCAACTTCCCATCCACTCTGACAGTGAGAGACATCACTGGCAGTTCTCAAAGGCACATTTCGTTCTCCATTTACATGGATCCCCTGTGCTAAAGGAATTTATTTGAGTGTGTGTGTATGTGTTTCTGTGGTTCGTATAAAGTCAAGAGCCTTAACCTCTTCTCCTTTCTTTCCTCTCAATTATCTCACTGGTTTTGGAGTCAGTCATCAGAATAAATTTATGTCTGTTACCTTCGTAATTAACAGTGGATTAACCTGAAAGAATCAAAACAACTTCTCATAGACAAAATAGTTTCTAGGTTAATCTCTTTCAGAAAAGTTAACACAAAAGAGGAATAAACATTAGTTCTGATTGCATTTTCAAGGTAAAAAAAAAATAATCCTGTAAGTTGCTCTTAACTTACTGCCATGGTATATGGGTTTTTTTGCTATTAATTTCTTTTCTACAAAATTCTTTTCTATTTTGTCACATCCAAGTCTTTGAGTGGTTGTCTTCATCTTCTTTATGCAGCTGATTTGGCCTGCTAAGGCATGTGGTAACTCCTCATTGACTATAACTGCATCGTAAAAGCATGTTCTTGGTAGCAGAAGATCCCTCTGTCTAGCAGGGGATAGCATTCATATGTGATTCTGTAAATTCTTCTAGATAAAGCAGATACATAAGAAATAAGGGAAAATAATAATACCGTATTGGAGCCCACCACTGCTGTGCTGTATTCTGAGCTCTGTCATGTGGTTAGAGCTGAATGAATCATTTGAATCAGATTATCTGGCTAATTTCATGTCTACTTTTGTTTAGAAAAAATACTGGGATGGACATTTATGCCAGTTTCTTTGTTTGAAATGCATATTGTCTGGTAGCAATGAGAAGAACAGTTAATATATGAACAACTTTGATGTGTGTCTGTTCACAATTTGGACAATTGTAATAATACTTGAGATTTCCTACCATAAATATTTGCAATCACAAATTCATTACAGATTTTTTCCTCCTTTTACAGTGCTTTTCTAATACACCCTTTTTCTATTAACAGTGTGGGCCAGTCTCTCATTTTCCACGTCTGAGTATTCAAGGAGAACAAATGTGTCTACAGTAAATAGATTTAAAAGTCTTTGCCTTCTAGCAACTGTACACCATTTTCTGTTTCATTCATAGATAACCTTTGGAGGCATGCCTTTTTCTGGGAAGCCAAGTTCTAACAGTAGGAAAAATTTCAAAGGCTGCATGGAGAGCATCAACTACAATGGCAATAATATCACAGACCTTGCCAAGAGGAAGAAATTGGAACCTTCAAACGTGGTAAGAGCAAAATTTAATGGTCATCCATACCTCCTCTTCTCCTTCTAAAGAATACTAGAAGGTTAATGAGTGTGTGTAGCTGATATCCTTGTAGTATACTGGAATAATATAGAACACAAAATAAGTTTTACTACAAACCCAAAAATCTTATTTTACATGCATTTATGAATTACTATTATTATTATTATCACCCTCATCATCATATCTGAGACCCCTTCTGGGGTCTTGTTTCATATTTCCAAAATTAACACCAGATAACTACTGTTACCTGATGCTAAATTAGTATCAGATAACTACTTTTTAAAAGAATATCAACTGAACCAGTAAGTACTTATTTCTTTTCTTCTCAAATTATAGTAGTCCAAAACCAGTGCAGACAAGATTAATTATTAAATTCATTGCAGCTTTCTTGTGGCTTTTAATCCTGGTATATTCCATTCCTTCTGAGCTAGTTGGAGTGCAAAAGTCTTTGGAAGGGGAAGGTTTTACAGGCTTTTCTGGTAAGTCTGAAAAGCCTCAAGATATTAGAGTTTAAAATGATTGTTTCACTTATTAACATTGCAGAGCTTATTATTAACTTTTTTTTTCTATATTTGATCTTGCTTAAGTGTTCATAGGTACTTTCATGTTCACACTTGTGGCTTTATGGGCAGGGTGATTAAAAATGTACTTCACTTATTATCTATTTAAGTTTTTAAAAATCTGTTCCTGAAACTACTTGCTGGCATATGAGGCAATATGGGTAAAAAATAAAGGTATTATTGCCATGAGTTTGAGATGGTTTGAATAACTTTTCAAGGCTTTCTTCAGTACAAACTTACAGCCTTCACTAATTCCTGCTAAAAATACGCAGATTTCCACTCTTGCTTTTCTCTTGATATAATAAAGAGTAAAGCTATACACACACCGTGATGATGTCATGCAAAAGATTGACTAACATTTAATTGCTCCTTGGATAGTAAAACTGAAGTTCCATTCAATTGTATGAATGCTAGGGCTAAATGGTCCAGGAGAATTTTGAATATGTGTTGTTTGACTATACAAACTCAGTAACAGTTTCTGCACAGGAATTTCTTCAGTGGTGTCAAGGACAAAGAGCATGATATTTACACCATGCAATAAGACTCCATTTTTAGATTTTTTTTTAAACCCATTCTCATGAACTCCTGTATCTTTGAGGACTTTTTTGTTTTTTTTCTTCAAAATTGCCTGTGCTTTACTTCCTGCAGGGTATTTTCAGCTGTAATATAACCATGGTTTCAGAGATTGATGCCTGATTTAGAAAAAGATCTTTGTACATCTTTGCATTTTGCACAGTTGAGCCCACTGCAAGGTAGCAGGACATAATCTTAAAGCCTCTTTCTGAGCAGAAGTGTTACTTAAGAGGTTCCTGTATTGCATATCCTATCCTTTAAAATCCTAGCCATAGCTAGCAGACCTGTCAAGTCTCTGAAAAATCCTCACTCTTGTTTTCATTTGTTTCTTTCCTTTTCAAATTCCCTTGCCTGTAACATGAAAGTAAAATCCTCAAAAGAAGCTTTGACAATATTAGTGCTACATCGAGAGGTTATGGAATGCTAGTTTAATTTGATGATTCTTTTGATTTCCAATTCTGAGATTGGCTATAAAAATAGAAGTGACCTTTGTTTTCAGTAGAATTACTTGAATTGCTTCAGCCCTTCAAAAGCAAAATCAATTTTACTCTAAATCAAGATGAATTTTTATGTTTTTTTTTTTTTTTTTTACAAAACCTTTTTTTCCTCCTGATTTTTAGCCTGATTTAGCATGCAAAAATAGACTTGTTTGAAACTACTGTTGTTGCCAAGCATTGTTATGACGGTGGTACTTAAGCAATCCAACGGGGATCAAAACTCCATTTTAGGACATGTACAAACCCATAACAGTAGTCACACCTTGCCCCAAAGAGGGGCGAGACAGAAAAAAGTATGAAGGTGAACACAAAGTAAGCTGTGTGGTGATGAGAATATCATAACAGAGGGAAAAAATTCAGAGGAAAGGAGGATTTTAAAGAGGTGTGAGACAGAAGAAAATAATATTCTTAGATGAAGATATTTGGATTTCAAAAGTCACACAGTGAAAGGGACTTGAAAAGTTAATATTACAGAACGAGGAGGCCCAGAGAATCAGAGATTATAAGATTATGATAATTTGTCTATGAAAAAATTAAATGAAATAATATCTCATGCATGTTATGAGCAAAAAACCACCTCCATACATCTTTTAAATTTATTGAAGAGTAAGAGTGAAAAGACAAATGAAAAATATTTTAAATTTAAAATTCAGTCAAACTCTGACTTCAGTACTATATTTGTTTTATTTAGAGGGTAAGAATAAGGGAAAAAATGTTTGTGAGTCTTTTGTAACATTTAAAATGTCAAGAGCTCTTAAGAACAAGGCAGAGGAATGATCTTGAGCAGTTATCATTTTTATCGGTGGAGCCTGATTTGTTCTCACAAATGAGTCAAAAGAGAGTCATGGGTAAAAGATCAGCTGAGACAGAGAAGGTCAGGTGTCTGCTTTTCTCCTGAATCAAATTGTGAACAAGAGTTGGCAGTGGTTGACTACACAGTAGATTCTAACTTCTGCATACATCTTGACTCAGGACTAAAACAGAAAAAGGGAACATGCTAGTGAAAAATTTTGAATCCATATTTCCCATGTTTTCTAGTAAAATATAACAAGTTTTCTAGGGCTTTCATTACCTTGTATAAATGAATAATGTTGACCCTTGTACCAATACTGAGAAAAGACTAGGATATGCAGTTAACAAGAACTAGTACAGAGAAATGTGAGTTTAGGAATTTAGTCATTTTATCAGATTTTCCTACCTAGCGGTATATTAAGGGCAAGCAATGTGAATGCTAATTGTATTTAGTTTCTACAGAGCAGTCTCTTCAGTTTTAAAGCCCGTAACTGAAAAATGCTGAGGAGAATCGTATTTGCTATTCTCCATCCTTACATTCATTAGGTTTATGTTCCACCCAATTCTGCGTCTCCTATGCCACGTATTACTGAGTGGAATCATATCCAAATTTAAGCTGAGTGTTTTATTTAAATTATTTATATTAACCAAACATCCTGTTAATCTCAAAAATATATAATAAGCTATTTTGATAAGATACAGAAATAACACAAAAAACATTAGCATACAGTTCTTTGTCTGTTCCTGTATGAACCATCCTGATTTAGCAGGCAACGTAGTCTAAATAAACTCATTGCCTCTCTTTTAGAAACTACCTATTCAGCCAGTAGGTTTATTAATTGGGAAAGGTTTTAAGACCCGGTAGTATTTATGCAAGGGTTAATATTTGAATTTGGATAGGCAAAATTGATTTATAAGAAGTAAACACAAACCTGATTTGCCATACAGATTAAAGATCATGATACAAAGCTCAAGCTACATAAAAACAGGTATTTTTGCCTTTTTCCTATCAATGTAGTTTGAAAACTTCTCCGATAAGACCAACAGTTTCAATATTAATGCACAGTGTATATTGGGCTTCCAGATGTCATTGCCCAGAGAACTATTCAGCAAGTCACTCTGAATCTACAGAAAAGGATCTCATTTTCTTTGAAAAATGGGGAGACTATTATAGACACAAACCGCAGATTAATTTGAACTCTTGACCTAGAACTAGTGAGTAATCTATTTTAGATGGACTGTACTTAAAATGGGAGTCATCTTGTGAACTACAATCATAGAAGGAATCAATAATCCAGTTCATATTAATCTGAATAGCTCAGTAGGGAAAATGCTAAGTAGCAAAGAAATTAGAATTGTGTGTTACTTCCTCCAGAAACTTTTTATGCAGCTAGGCTGTCTGTGGGAAATGCATTCATTGTGATGTGAAAGAGGATTTGAATGCATTCAGTGCCACTACCATTAATAGGTGTTATACATGCAAGTATCCAAAACATCAGGATGACAGCAGAGTATCAATTGGATAAAAGCCTTCTTGTAACAAGGAAATTGTTAGTTCCTCTCAGTAACAAGGCAGCAAAAGAAACTCAAAATGTCTAACAGAGCGCTCTCTGAGCACTTCTTAATTGGTATCTGTGACTGAACCATGAGATGTCATCTCTTAAAAAATGCTGTTGCCTTCTCAGTCTACACAGCACTGCCTTAACTATGTAACAGAAGTTGTTTATAATCCAGAGAGTGACATTACACTGATAACCAAGGGTTACAGTCAGTCTCCACCTAATTTTTTTTTAGTGTAGGTTAAATTTGTGGTTTAACCAAATGTATTCTGATGCACGCTTTGAAATGGTTTGATTAGAACTATTCACCACAAGCAAATTAACTATTTTGAGTTAACGCTTTGTTGGCTGAAAACGTAAAATTAAAATCTCCAGGCAACCTTTAAATAACACCCCCCTCCAAAAAACAAAACAAAACAAAAAAAAAAAGCAAACAAAAACCCCAACCAAAGGAAAAACAACTAAACAAAAACCAAAACAAAAAAACCAAACACCCCTCCCCCCCCTAAAACAAAACAAAAACCCCACCAAAACATAGAGCAAACCAAACCCACAAAAAATACAGAATAGTCAAGCAGCTTAGCACAGAAGTCTTTTGCTTTTACCCATAAAGTAGCTGTAATTTCTCCCATCACACAGTCATTCAAAAGCTTTCTTTAGTTTATTTTCCTAATTCCTTGGGTTTTTTTTTCTATCCATGGAACTTGGGTGCATTAAAAGAACATGATTTGTAATGCTGAGGTTTTGTCATAAAGTTTAGGAACAAATCTAGGAGATCAATTTAAAAAAATCTCTTCTTTAGTTTCAGATTACTGAAAACATCAGTATTCCTGAATTGATCATGGAAGCTGCCAACCTGATAGTGTAATTACTACTAATTCTACTGGTCTTTATAGGTAGACTGCATATAACTTCTGAGGTTCTATAGGAAATAGAGTCTATTATGCAGAATAATCAAAGCATCTATCTGAGTGCTCCAGCAAAAAATATTATTTTTGTAATTTGGTTTTTACATGGGAATTCTATATAAGAAGATGAACCAGCCATACAGGTTATATCTTGTTATGACACAGATCAATTGTTTTCTGATGTGATGTTCTTTTAAAAAGTGATGGGTTTGGACATCAGGAAATGAGTGCTTAAGCTTGTGTATTGACATCATCCAGCCCACCTCCAATTAAAAATAATTACTTCTTAAAAAAATTTATTTAGGTCTTTTCTCCCACACATTTTTAAACACAAAGTTCTTACCTTGCTTCCAAATTCTCCACCTTCCCTCAGATGCATTTATACACTATGAATACAAAAATGTGACATAAAAGCTTATATCAGGAAGTCAGTAATACAGCATTTAAAAATAGTTATGCAATAAAGATGTTGAGTGACTCCTGTTGGGATTCTGAACCATGCTTAAGTGGGCCTCATCTCTAAACATCTATGTACCTCCAAAAGTGTTGTTGGAGCCTTAATATTTTTCTCAATGTACAAATAAATATCAAAGGAACTGCAGTCTTGATCATAGTAACAATTTCTATACTGCATCAGATATAATTCTTCCTTCCCAAATAGAACTAAAATTACCGCATACTTTTCACCTGCAACAGGGCATCAGAAAACCTAACCACAGGACAGGAACCACTTTGTCACATAGCCTTGGAATTCTTCAGCAGAGAGAGTTTCCTGTTATATTGCATTGATGCATTTAAAAGTTAATTCTGGACATAGATTGCCACAAACTATTTACGATTTCTAAGGAAAAGGAATGGCAATGCATCTTACCATTTTGGTCTTTTGTGAGAAATGACACGAGAACCAGAGTGAAAAATTCACATCCCTAATTCTAGTCTTGTTTACAGATGTATTTTAAAGCCTTGTAAATCAATAAAGTTGACTTGATTTTGTCAATTTTCTGAAGAGTAAAATTTTACAGTGTGAAAACTGTACTGTAGTTTCTTTTACAAGGAAAATTATTTACTTACTACAAATATTTGGTGTTGCTCATGATCCTGAAGCCTTCTGCTTCTTGAAATGAAAGTTTATGTAGTATTACCCAGTAGAAAACATAACAGAGAGGCTGGCTCTTCGTGAGGTATTATAAACCCTTCTTTCCCAACCTTATGTATTGTATTGATTGACACATGATGTAAGGCTATTTGGAAAGCTGGACTCATTTTTATAAATACTGCTCTGTCATTGGTTTCTATGGTGACCGTGGACAACCCAAGTTTATCTGTAATCCATTTCTTTGTCTTTGATCTGGAAATATTAATGTTTTCATTCAAGTCTTAGATTGCAGCTCTTCAGGGCAAAGTCTGCCTTTTATTTTGCATAGGTAAAGTACAAAATATAATGGGGCCACTGCTAGGAAAAAAAAAAAAACAACAGAAAAATCAGCAACAACATTATAATAGTAACAGTAACAATAATATTAATAGCACATCTTTATATGCAAAATGCCTTGATCAGAGTGGTCTCTAGGCTGAATGAAATCTAGAATACTTCTCTAAGATACTATGAATTTAGTGGAATCTTACAATTTGGCTTATATTTTTTGCTTCTCTCTTTGTGTTTTACTTAGGGAAATTTAAGTTTTTCTTGCGTGGAGCCACATACAGTGCCCGTCTTTTTCAATGCCACCAGTTACCTCGAAGTTCCTGGTCGTCCCAGCCAGGATCTGTTTTCAGTCAGTTTC